GAACCGATGAAGCGAATGCCAGTATTATAAGACACTTTGATTTTCATCCTAAAGATTCAATAACTAAAGCAGCAGCTGATTTGGGGTTGAGCCGCACCACAACTTGGAGATAAAATTACGTTTTATAAAATGACAGTTTATTTGAAACACCCTGTAGTTCCTTACTTGAATGATCCATCGTATTTACGTGTGTATCGCAGAGCGCAAAATTTCATCACGTCTGACATTGCGTCTTCATTCATATACTTAGAGAAACAGTGAGCAAGTTGATTCTCTGAATTGACAAACAGTAAATTTATGTCCTCAAAACGTTCAAGTGATCTGCCTTGGGCAACTGCTTCGATTCTCAATTTTTATTTCGTGGAGTTGAATATGGTCAAATACTCTGCCGTTCGAACACTCATGCTCTCAGTAAAATCTCTGAAGTATTTGAAGCTCGTGCTCGGCCATTCCAATCAATCATTCGTTTATTCTAGTTTATTCGACGTTTGTCTTGCTGCATTTAATTTTGCCTCACATATGTCGCTCTTGACCCGGTTGATCGTTTTAGGCGACCAGTTAAATACGGGTATTGCAATCAAAGTTTGTCCTCTGATCGATCCCATTTGTGCCATAGTAACGCATCTCGCAAATCTGGCATCTACATACGTTTCCATTTCTAGCATTCCATTAATTGGTATTAACAACTTTTGAGAACCGTCCCTCTTGCCTCTATGGGATCGATTGTTCAATGCTGACATGCAGTCATTAAACTTTTTAGCCAAGTCTCGTCTTGACAGCGTAGTTGCCCATTGTAATTGGTCTATTACACTTCCGGTCATCGCGACTCTTTCTGGTGTAATTCTTTGTTCATCGGCTCCTACTATGCTGTCAATAGTTTCAACCTCACCCCTTTTTGACTCTGTTCGTGTCGATATAATTCTTCCAAAGTGATTCCTTCCTCGATAACTTGCTGTCCGTGTTTTCTCTCAAAGATATTCAAAGTTTTTCAATGGGTCCCGTGAAAATAGTAGATAGCACAATGTTCATTTTTAAAGGATCCGGCAAATATCATGTCATCTACGTAAAGGGCAAGTAGATCAAAGTTTTGTCAGGACGAAACCTTATAGATTCCAATTAGTTTCCAGTTTCATCTTTTAGTTTGGTTGAAACTTCGTTTTCAAAAAAGGTCAAATATAACTTCAAGAAAAAATTGATTTAAAAATTCTTCTTATGAATTTTAAAAGCTAAGTAGAAATTACTGTAACTTTAATGACAGTGTTCGCTATAAGTAGTGCCACCTCAGGCACAAATTTTTTTATTCGTTAAAGTTTTCTTTTGCAATTTTCAAAAACAAAGTTTCAGCCAAAATAAGGCTAGCTCGTTGCGCGAAAAAATTTACTTAAATTTTTAAAATAGTTTGATAGTTTAAATTGGTTTGATAGTTAGAACTGGTTTGCAATCAGCTCCTTGTTTCCAAGCCTGCCATTCAAGCGATGATTTTAAATCAGTTCAACTTGTTGAGATGCTGGAAATCTTTCGCAAAAAAAGAAGATTTTTCCGCCAAGCCTTACGCATCAAACATTTTATTAAGGATCAATGAAAACCACCTCAAATGGTAAAGCTCGAAGAACAAAAGCTACAAACTGTTCATTAATGTGTTCTTGAACGTGAATCATGAAAAAAAATGATGAAGCTCCAATAAAAATTTAAAGACGTATTTTCAAGCGTTAGAACGCTTATGAATCTACACTTCCTGACAACTTAGCATATAAATTTTGAAAATATATTTTTTTTATCGCATGGATCTTGATTCTCATTTTCATTGAACTTAGAGTTGCTATTGCGATTGACTGCGTGACCTTGTTGCTTAAGATATGAGGAACTATTGACTTGATGTGATTTATTCGTCCGATCCACCAAATTAAACTACTTTCTGAAAGTTGCAACTATATTTTCAAATTACACAACACTGCTCGTTTTAGAGGGAAGTACTGAATAATCCGACTGCCTTTTAAAATCTATCTAGCAGTAACTACATGGAAAAGTCAATAAAATAATTTCAATGATTTTTTTTTATTTGAGATTTTTGTGAAAATCATCCTCCCACACGCCATATAAATAACAAAGTGATAAATTTTGCTCCTAGTAAAAATCAACTATGGCAAATAGGCTTCCTTCAATTAATTTGGAACAACTTCTACGACGGATTAAATCTCCGCTTACGCGTTGATAGCGCGAAACATATCGCGCGTTATTTGTCCCAAATTGGCCAAATGGCAATATTTAAACTCCCATAACATTAGGAAAAGAGATAACAGTTAGATTATCTTTTTAATTTTAAGCTCACGACAAGAAGACTGTTTGAATGATCTAATAAAAATCTCGTCAAAAATGGCTAGTTGAAAAGTTTTATATTTTATTTTGGTTGACACTGTGTTTTCAAAAATTGCAAAATTTAATTTTAAGAAAAAAATAATTTCAAAAAAATAATTTCAAAATTTAAGTAGAAAAAAAAAACAAAAAACAACTTTAATGACAGTGTTTGCGATAAATAGTGCCACCTCAAGCAGAAGACTTTTACTAACATAATTTTAGTGACATTGTTTGCTATAAATAGTGCCACCTCAGGTATAAAAGCTTTTTTTTTCTTTAAAGTTTTATGTTTCATTTTTCAAAAACAAAGTTTCAGCCAAAATAAAAAATATACTTGGAAAATAACTGGAAACTATGTGGTTTTGATCTGATGCGTTTGATTGTTTGCTAAAGCTTAGTGCAAAGGTTGCAAATTCAACTAAACTATGTTGCTTAATTTGAATAGAGGCAAGCTGAAAAATAGAGGCAAGCTGAAATAATTTGAATAGAGGCAAGCTGAAAAATCTTGATAACTTCTTGCTTATAACAAAAACCGCAGAAACTACAAACTTCGAAACAAGAAACTCAGAAATATAACTCGATCCAAATCTGAAAGTTTTTCGCAAAAACTCAGTTTAAGTTTCGTTGAGATTCTTTTATTTAAAAATCAAGCGTATGCTCTGGTTATTGTTGTCCTGAGCTTAGATTTGAAATAATATTTCATATTATTCTTTTTTCGTATTGTTATGGGGGTTTAAATATCGCCATTTTGGGCAAATTTTGCCAACTAACGCGCAATATAATTTGCGCAATTAACGCGTAAGATTTATTTGGTCTTAGAAATTGTTCCAAATTGGTAGAAAAAAATTTGTTTGCCATAATTGATTTCTTGCTAGGAGCAAAATCTATCAATTTCTACTTTATATGACGTGTTGGGTTATGATTTTCACAAAAATCCCATATTTAATTTTTTTCATTGGGATGCTGCCCCATAGACCTTAAAAGGCAGTCAGAACATTCAACGCTTCACCCTGATACGAGGAGTTTTGTTCAAATTAAACAACACTGCTGGTTATAGAAGGAAATACTGAATAATCCAACTGCCTTTTGAAATCTATGGAGTTGTAATAACGTGGAAAAATTTATATAATGAATAGAATGAAATTTTTGTTTTTAATTTAAAATTTTATGTGAAAATCAATCTCCTAAACTCAATATAAATTAGCTAGTGATAAAATTCGGCAAATAAGCTTCTTACAACCAATTTGAAACAATTTCTAAAACGGAATAAATCTCCGCTTACGCGTTAATAGCGCGAATTATATCGCGCGTTAATTGTCCCAATTTTGCCAAAATGGCAATCTTTAGAACCACTTAATTTTACAAAAACAATCAAAAGTAAGCAATTTTTTTCAAATTTAAGTTCATTACAACAATAACTTTTGAAAGATATTGAATTCCGTCAAAAAGGGTACTTAAAAAGTCGAAGTTTGTCTGAAGAAAAAAAACCAACCGAGCACAAACATACCATTAGTTTCGTTACGAAAATCAAAACAACAAAACTGCTCGTATCAGGACGAAGCCTTGAATGTTAATGCTGTCTTTTAAAATCTTTACAGCAGTATTAACTTGAAAATATTAAATGTAATAAACTAAAATGAAAACAAAATAACGTTTTTAAAATTGAGATTTTTTTGTAAAAATCATCCGCCCACACGCCATATAAAGTGCAAAATGATAAATTTTGCTCCTAGCGACAAATCAATTATGGCAATTAAGTTTCCTTCAACCAATTTGAAATGATTTCTAAGGCGAGCTAAATCTCCGCTTACGCGTGAGTAGTACGAATTATATCGCACTGTAATTGTCACAAGTTGGCAATCTTTAAACCCCAAAAACTCTACAAAAAATGATCACTGGTAAAAATTTATTTTAAAAAATTAGGTTCAAGACATCGATATTTTTTGAATGATAAAAAACTTCGGTCAAAAATGGCTAGTTTATAAGTCAAAATTTAACTGAAGAAAAAAGCCACCCCGAGCACAAATATTCCGTTACTTCCGTTATGAAAAGCAGGATAACTAAACTGCTTGCTTCAGGGCAAAGTTGTGCATGTATCGATTGCTTTTTAATTCTATGGAACAGTAATAACATGAAAAAAATAAATGTATTAAAATAAAGTGAAAAAAAGTTTTTGAATTTGAGATTTTTTGTGAAAACATCCAACCACACGCCTATAAAGTACAAAGTGATAAATTTCTCTCCAAGTAACACATCAATTATGGCGAAAAAGCTTCCTGCAACCAATTTGGAACAATTTCCAAGACGATTGAACTTCCACTAACGCGTGAATAGTACGAAATATATCGAACTTTAATGGTCCCAAATTGGCTATCTTTAAACCCCCACAATTTTACGAAAAAGGATCACAGTTGAAATATCTTTGAAATTCAGCTCAGGAGAACACTACCTTTTGATTGATAAAAAAACTCTGTGATAAATGGCTAGTTAAAAAGTCGAAATTTGTCTGAAGAAAAAACCATCCCCAGCACAAATATTCCGTTACTTTCGTTACGAAAGTCGGAAAAAAAACCAAATATGGGTGGCGTGGAGTCGAAAAGAGCGTAATATCAAAACTACTATGTAAATATATGTTCGGTATGTAGGTTGTGACGACTTCGAGAACTGCACTGGATACCAGAAATGTAGAGAGGGGCGATTTGATGGTGTGTATAATTTAACTTCATATGAAATTTATTGTTTTGTTCCTGTGGTCTTTTTCTCTTCAGCTTCAAAATGATTTTTGGATTCTATAAAACCAAAAAAAAGAAGCACAATAGCGATGCATTAGCTGATTGACCGATTCCTCCCAAGAAATTAATAGTGCAGTTCTACCCTGTCATTTGCGGCCGACCAACTCTCACAATTTTCTGAAGGTGCCTTGACGCCCAAAAGTACTAACGATTTTGAAGGAAGAGCGCAACACCAAAAAAAACTTCCCGAAAAGGATTAAAAAGGGGTTTTTCTCCAAAAAAATTACGTACAGAGAGAGAAATATTCAGGGCAGGGTCTTGATGATAGATAATCTCACTTTTTGGGGCCTTTTTTTGATTTCGATTTTTAAAAATAATTTGAGTTGGTAAACCCAGTGTTCCAAAACAAAATAAAAATTTTTATTTAAAATTATAGACTACACCGTAAACTACGCAGAAGCCGAACAGTTTAACATAGAGTATTGCGACGAGATCACTGGAAATTTCCACTGTGACGTCGGATACTACACGAACGCCACGACTCTTATCAAAGAGCAAGCCGTCTGCAAAGACTTCTGTCCCCCTGGCAAGACGGACAGCAGAAGTTGTTCGGCTCTCAGAGAAGATTGCGCCGAATTTTGTCATATTGAAAATGTGGATTCGAGTAAAGATGAAAATTGGTGCAATTTGGAACAAAGAAGTTGTGTCTGTAAAAAAGGGTACAAACAACCAAAGTAAGAATTTTTCAGTTTTCTTTTTTGGCTTTTTTCTTAAATCTAAAAGAACTAAATTAAGCTGCAAGATGACTGTTTTGTTTGTTTTCGAGTAACCTCAAATGTTATTATTCGAAGCCTGATATCTTTCAATTGTCATTTTTTCTCAAAAATGGGAAACTTTTCATCCGAAGTTGAAAATTTTTAAACCTTCCAGTTCTGAGTCTCTTAATATTTGAATAAAACGATGAATTGTTTTCAGCTGTGAAAAGTGTCCGCCAGACAAAACTGGTGACAACTGTTCCAGAGATTGTAAAATAGAGTGTGGCAATGTTGCAGGTGCCACTTGCGACGGACCTACATGCCTATGTCCTCCAGGCTACCAAAATCAAGCAAGTTCCAAAAACTCTGGAATCGATAACAAAACGGATCAAACGATATCAAATATAAAAAATAGAACAAATAGTCCCCAAATGTCTCAGCAATATGTAGTGAAAGTTTCAAAATACAATTTTAAAAAAAAAGAATATCCGAAGGTGAAAAAAAATAATCAGTAAAATAGTTTTTAGGCTAATCAATGCAGACAATGCGACAATGGATTTTACGGCCAGGACTGTGCGGGAACCTGCATCAGTTCTAGGGAGGATGCATGCTACGAAGCTCACAGTTTCAGTCGTCTTAGTCCCGAGAAATGCGACAAAGTGACGGGTAAGTCTGAAAAGATTTTTGATTCCTTGAAATCATCCTAACATCATCTGATGGAATTTACTCTCACACAATAAAAACAATCTTTGGGATCTTTGTGCCGAAGAAAAATTAGAATATAAATTTTCGTGAGGCCACAATGCGCACTGTTTTGTCGTACCATGCGACAATTAGTACCAGGGACACTTTTCACCGTCTTAATTGCTCTGGAAGAATGCATATCAGTTTTCAAATAGCAATTTGCACCCCTAAACAATCGCTCTGGGGCTGAATGAAGTTGTGTGCTTGCCAATCCAGAGAAACGAACTGTTAATAAGATGCGAGAGGGATTTTTAGCTAACGACTGTTGCTTGATGCCAACGTCGCACTCTGTCAATCGACCGCGTTTATAAACTCTACCTAATGTTCCTTCCGACCAGATGTCGTTTTCGATGAACTGTCGCCTTTCTTTGCTGCAAGTTTTGCGAGTAAAAAAAACTGTTATCTCACAAAGATTTCCTCTCTAAAAATGACAGAAAATCGAGAAATTTTTTTTAATTAATAAGGTAATAATGACTTGGTCCGATCAATCTGTAATTCTTGCAAAGCAGCCGACTATTCGTGTTGTAGATACTCTTTTGACTCAGTTCAGTTGTATTTGAACAGTTACGGTGGTCATAACTTTCTGCACCACTTGCGCCGCAATCTGGTAATCTTGTTGCTTCGACCACTGAAAGTGGGGAAGAATTTTGTTTTCGGGTGCGTTCTAGTTTTTTGTTACCTTTTTCTTTTTTCTGTCTTCACGCAAAATCAGTTACCAGAAAAGTATTGGACTGGATTGACTGATATATCACGATGAAGCCCTCTCAGTCGTGATTTTAACATTACAAAACAGAAAACCGAGAAAAACCGGTTTTCTGTTTTAAATGTTCAAACCACGACTGGGAGGGCTTCATCGTGATATATCAGTCGATCCAGTCCGATAATTTTGTGGAATCCAATCCGATAATTTTGAAAAAATTTTTGTTCGAGCGAACAAAGCGAACGAGCATGCTTGAAATCAGAGGATACGTTTTTACTTAAATAAACCGTGGCAAATTAGTTTTACTCCAATAAAATTAGCTTTCAATTTTTTTTCAACGCTTTCTTGGTAATGAGCTTCAAACGTTTGTGGTCGACAATGTGCTCGGCTTTGAAAGCCAAAACATAAAGTGAGCATCTCGACCCGATTAAGTGCGAACCTCCAAATCTGTACTTTTTTCTTTTTTGAAAAAGAAAAAGGGAGCTGCATCTTTTTAAGGGAGCTGCATCTGTGTACCTGGATTTGACCCCGCTGAGAACTGTCAGTCAGCGTGCAAAGAGTTCATGTGGGGTGGAGGCGAGGACAATTGCCAGTCCTGCTCATGTAAAAACCTCATGGAGTGCGACAGAATTACGGGAGAATGTCTGTAAGTTATTAAGCAATTGTACTGAAGGAACGCTTCAAAACAAAAAAATACACGGGGTTTAAGTTTCCAAAACTTGGATCACAGTTAAAAAATTAAAACACTTCGAGTCATTAGCCAGGGAGCTAGAACATGATAAAATTCTAAGTTTCTAAGCATCGATTCTATCCTCTTTTCCAAATCAGTTTCTTTGGTGGAGGTAAATGTAATAACTTTGTCATACCGCTGTGTAATAGATGTTCTAGAATCCGAACTGACTGGCTATATAAATGCATACTTGGTTCTGTCTAGGAAAGATAACTGAACCCAATACTGAATTCAAGGCAACTGAGCGATTAAGCTCACCGATATGTTCTGTCCATATTGGTCTGGGCCATCTGTTTGGCCTCCAAAAAATAAGTATATACATGTAAAAAGACATCATAATAATTTACGCCAATCCGGCCGGATGACACTCCCCTCTCTTCAAAATTGCGTCACTGTAGGAGTAATTTCGAATTTTATGTCACTGTTGGCAAGGAGTTTTATAGTCCTCGTGGGACTTGTGGGATACCATGTCTATGACGTTGATGGTGTCGTTGTCCTTCGTCTTTAGTTTAATCGTTTCGAGGAATTTCATGCACGCCGCAAATTCCTGTGAATCCTTCTGGAATCCCATTTCATGGATCAGGCTCTTGATGCTCGAGTTGCTCCTGTGTTGTTTTTCTGGGGACGCTAGAGCAAAATTCTGTGGGAAGTCTTTTGAAGTTGTCCGTCGCGTTTTTGTGGATTTCTCATCGGTTCTATTGTTGCGGGCTGAGGAGTTGTTTTCTTTTCTTCTAGTCGTTTGGGAGAGGCTGCTGTCGTTTCGGAAGCTGTAGAGAACCACCGGTGACTTGACGAAGGATCCGATTCCTTCGTTTGCTTCCTGTCTGTCTCTCTGAATGTCATTCCCCTTGCTTGTTTGGGGTTTGGCTTTCCGCCCGTCCGTTTTCCAGTTTGTTGTTTTGTCGTTATATTCTACTCTGTTGTCTCCGCATCTTTTTGGTTTGGTTTCTCCTTTCGGGACAATATCTTCGGAAGTCAGGCCTTTTCATCTTCTAGGAACACTTCATGTTGTGGCGCGTTTGGCTGCTCAAAGTCTACGAAACGCAAGAGTGGACCAATTCTTCTAGCCGATTTGTATGCCACATAATCACTGAGTTGTGAAGGTCTACAGGGTCCTTACATTTTTGAGACTGGTACAAATGCGAAACCGCTGTTTCTCAGTAAGCGAGATTGTTTTACCAGAGTTTGTACCCAAGTTTTACCAGAGTTTGTGCGGAAAGTATGTTGAAATTCTACCGTCGATGTTTCGTTCTTTTGCTCAATGTCCCAGGATCTTTAACTTTTGATGCCCCTCGCTCTTTTTTTCGGACTACCTATTGTATGCGTTTCTTAATGTTAGTTTCCACCTGTTTTTGGGTTCTTTTTATCTTAAATTAAGGGTTCCACTTTCCTTAGCTAGGTAATGTCTGGTTCTCACACCGGTACTACTCGACGGTTCTCGGAAATTTGTAAAAGGCCGTCATTTTATCTTGACTTCACTCTCGGACCATCATTGGAGGTCGTGCATGATTTCTGGCGGGAGAAGATGATACATCAGGTTTTTCCGATAATGGTGTGTTGGTGTACGTCCCATATGTGCCTCAAATGGTGAAATTTTACTAGTTTTGTATAGTGTTATTTTTGATGTTTTTATGATTTTGGCGACGTTTGATGCTTATTTTTAAGGCGAAGTATATCCAAGAAGTTTTGTGTCATTAGATTTGCAAAAGATCGGGAGCCTTTCTTGGCTCTAAACGTTTGTACTTGATAACACCTTAAATTTCTGTGGGCCCCATTCTTTGATATGTACCCCTGCAGTATATCTTTTTTGCTCTATCTGTCGTTGTGTTTGATACTAGTTGTGCTGTTGGGAATTTTGACCGTTTATCTACTACAACCAAAATGTAAGCGTCTTTGTGTAATTCGTCCTGGAGAAGCGCGGCGAAGTCTAGTTATGCTTTTTCATTTGGTTCGAATACGTGCTTCATTTGGAACGACTTTCCTTATACAAGTTTTAATGTTTACCATGTTGGTTTTATTGTTGGCATTTCTGGTCGATCTCTACAATTGTACGTTGGATGTGATGGGACCACATGTTCTCACATAGGTCGTGCGTGGCCGCTGCTACGGGATGGATTAGTTGGAGACTGTCCTGGATGGTTTGAAGTAGGGCAGTTGCAGAGGAATGATGATCCGGTCATCAATCAGTAGACAGCCATCCTTTACATGTAAATGGTTCCTAACGTTGTATCAGTAACCTCCTCCGACTCCCGCTTTTGAACAAAAATGTGAATCGGCTTGTCTCTGCCTTTGAACGCGGCTACGAATTTCACACGGATTACCTGTTGCAATTTTTTTTCCGATGTCCTCTTCTGCTTCTGTTGCTGTGGCTCGGTCTCTGTTTCTACCACGCTTGCAACAATTAGTTCGTGACTGGCTTCGAGTTGTGTTCTGGAAAAGGTCGGTGGTGCTTCATTCTGTGCAAGGTTGTTGTGAGAGATTCTACTAACACAATTTTTGTATAATTTGTTTCCCTCTACTGTCAAATGTTTTTGTGATTGTACTTTGTTTCGCTGTATTATGTTTGTGTTTGTGAGTGTTTGGGTTTCCGATTCCTTTTTTGTTCAGCTCAGTTTGGGTTCCTTTCGTTTTTGGGTTTCCTTGGTTTTTGGGTTTCTGATCCTGTCGGCTGCTTTTTCCGTTGAAGATGGGTGTTTCGGGCTGTAATTTCTGTCAGGTGTGGTAATCATGGACAAGTTTCTTGCCGTTTCTTGATGTTTGTTGATCTCTTTATGAGAATTTGTTTGTGGGCTATTTGTAAACACGGTTTTTGGGAATGCTTGAGTTCTCTTGTTCGGGATTAACTCTCTAGCATCTTGAATGTTTTGTGGCGGACTTGGTGTCGTTGAATGGGTATTCCAGATCTAATAAGTGGTTGACATCGTCTTTTTGGGCCAGCATGGCTGGGACAGGCTCTCTTCTCTGTCGGGTTCAGCCTTCCACAGTTTTTACGGGTTTCGCCCTCGTTGAGTTGTATGTTGTGGTTTAGAGGAACTTCCTCATCCTCGGGACCTTGCGATGTCGGGTATGAATCTCCTTTGTATCCTTTTGTTTTGTTTTGTCGTCTCAATTCGTCGAAGTTGGCCTCCAATGTTTTGATGCATCTTATATAATTTTGTTCTTTTAGATTTTTTGTTCGCTGGTTTCCAAGTGTTCGATTGGTCAAGTGACTGTTTTTTGTTTTGAACTGAATTACCGCTTTTATTATGTTTGGGTTGTTCGAAGTGCACTCGAGATATCAATTGAACTTTTGAATTCCTTTTGTTTTTCGCTTGCTTTGTGATCAGCCGATTTGGAGCTGGATTCTGGTTGGCTAGTTTGCTGTGTATGACGTTGTCAATCAATTCAAGATTGGAGATCAACAAGTTAATTGACGCCAAAACACATTTTTCAACATACTCGCTGGGGATAGTACTAATCCTAACAGTTTTTTGGAAATATAAACCCTATTTTTGTTCCTGCCAAGTCTTTTAAATCAAAAGTAAATGGGATTAATCTACCAATTCACCTAGTGAGCCTGCTTTGGCTAGTCTTTGATAGTTCGCTGGCTTTTAATGCGCTGGTTAAAGCTTGGTAGTCTGTGATGATGGTGAAATTTTTTGGCGTATAAAGGTTATTTGAAATGTTCAATCGCTCACACGGCCCCTAATAATTCTAACTCGTTTACGGAGTAATTTACTTCTAGGGAATTCAAAATGCAAATGTTACTGCTACCCAAACCTCGTCGGTGAATTGTTCAAGGGCAGCTACTTACCCAAAAGTAGATGATTCACCTACAACACGAAATTTAGGATGTCATGGATTGCGTATGTGTTACAGCTTCCAATCCAAACTTTGGTGTTTGTCTGATTTTTTTTGCAACTGTTTCAGTGCACATGCAGTTTTTGCGAGATTTGGTATGTATCTTTTATAGTTGTTTGAATGTTTTTGGTGCAGTGAGCTTTTGTATTGCATCTGTTATAGAAATTAATGGTGAGGGGGTGCTGTCGCTACTTGTTTTGTAGCCAAGCCATTCTATCTAACTGCATGCGAATTTGCTTTGCTAAGTTTTAGTCGTTTAGTTTTTTCAACACCTTATGTAACAAGTTGTTACAAAGATATGTCTTCAAGGTAGGCATATGTTTTTTTCAGAATTTGTGAGTGGGAAGTCTATAGCCTTTTGTAGTTTCGCCAACGTATCCGTCAGATCATGAAATCCCGTTTGGAATTGGTTAGTTCCCGTAGCTGTGCCCCCAATTAGGCTGAGGTGGCCTTGATTTCTTTTTTCCACGTCCAGAGGGATTTGTGATTTTGTATAAGGTAGATCCAGTGTCGAGATTTTTTTGGTTTTTCTTCGGTCTTAATGACTTGTACAATTTTGTCGATTAGTAGTTTGATGTTGGGCATTTGATATTTATTTTTGTGGATAAATGTTTTGATTTTCCTCGAATCTAGTGCTAGCATGACTTTTTTGTTTCTTTTTACCGTTATGACGATTGGGCTGAGGAACTAATTATCCAATTAATTATCTAGTTTTTTGTTGTGCTTTTGGTCTATCAGCTTGTTTAATTCCGCTTGTACTCGTTCTCGTAGATGTATTGGTACTCGTCTTTCTTTTTGTTGAGGTGGGTTGAGGTCTTTTATGAATTGGGTTCGCATTATGTTGTTTTTTGTTTTCCCGATTCGAACACATAGTTATTGAAAATTTTCTTCAATCCAGGTTTTAAGATTGTCGTCTGATGCTTCTTCGTTTTCGTGGATACTCAGGACTTGGTTATGTTTTGTTTTGTTTTTTACTAGACTGATGCCGGTTTTTGGTAACATGTTCAGCCCGGTGATATTGGTTTTTTAGTCGTCTACAATGATGAATGGTGCAGATTGAATGGTCCGTCCTCCGGATACTACGGCGATGATTAGATGTTTTTTAAGGAATAAAGTATTTTTCATTGTAAGAGGCGAGGTTTCGGGCGGCGTCCTCCGGCGTCCACAATATGACCCTTTAGATCATCTTTCTAAATGTCTATCGAGTTTGGTATTTCGAATGCTTCTGAAATCTCCGAAATTGTAAAATTCTCTTGTGGGATTTTTGCCCGGCCGTTTGTTGATGTAAAATTCTGCGTACGCCACTGGGTCGTTGTTGTTTTCGTTTTCACTGATGATTTCTTCCTTTTTGTCTTCCCGTCGATTCTGTTTGTCTCTTGCTGGTAGTTAACATTTGTTAATCTGCACACTTTTGCGAAGCGACCGCGTTTAGCGCGTTTTGTGCATTTTAGTCTCGTGCTGGACA